CACTCTCCATCCAGTAAGAGAAATGTCTGTGAATAGGTGCAAATCTCGATGGGGAGGAAACAGAGGAATGCCAGCATGTTGTCTCTGTTAAGCCACCAGGCAGTCTACTTGAAGGGAACAAGATTCCATTTATCATGCAACACCTACTGAAGATCACATTCATGTGCGTGCCCCCAGGATATAAGGGATTCCATGGACGACCAGGTCTTCAAAAGAACATAGAGCCTCATACACAGAGAAGGGGAGGATTTGGTTTGGAAAGCAAGAGCTCCATCAACCTCAAACAAAGAGGAGAAGGCAGAGCCCTGCTGAGGAAGGTGTTGAAAAACACCTATATGGATCAAATACTGTTTGGGGTTGAGAAAGAAGTTCTCCAGCCTGACTAGCCATCCCACACAAGCAGTCTCCTGTAAAAGGAAATGTGTGTGAGTGAGAGAGACTTGTTGGAATGGAGCTAAAAGTAGCCAGTCATCTATGTAGTGATGGATCTGCAAGCTTTTGTGAAGATGGCAAGCAAGGACTCTGACAACACAAAATAAAATGTAAGGAGCAGACCTTAGACCAAAAGTTAAAGCACAGAATTGGTAAACGACCTCTATGAAGTGTGTTGAACAAAATTAAGGTAATGTCTCGAGGCTGGAGAGATAGTGATATGAAGTTATAGATCCAATACATTGATTTTCTTTATCTAGAGACCTGACATGAACACCCACCAAAGTATGAGGAAGGACTCTGTAGTGAACTTGAGAGAGGTCAATGAAGCAGTTGATGTTTGATAGGATGCTAATTTCCAGTCAATTTGGGAACCACAAACCACCAGGAAGAAAACCCTGGAGAAGGGTGACATACCTAATTGGTAGTGTTCTTGCGTAAAAGGTCTAAAACTACTTCTGAGAGATACTGGCATGAAATGGGATTCTGTGGAGAAGGGAAGGAAATGGAACAAATGGATAAGGGGTGGAGAGAGAAAAATGAAGGGAAAGTCCTGATAGAACTTGAAGAAACCTCATAAATCACCTCGGAAAATATGGCAATGAGCAATTTGGTGGCTCTTCACTGAAATCCAGGAAGAAGGTACTGGTAGAAGGGAGGAAGCAGGGGGGTAAGACATAGGAATCGAAGCAGGAGAGAATGGGGAAAGATAGGAAACTAAGGGGGTAATGGAGGAATGTTCATGTGTGGCCTTCACCCTAGACAGCAATGTATCAGGAAGATCTCCAAAAGCAGACTGGTAAAAAAAGAAAGGAGTTGCCAAATGGAGGTCTCTTTAATAGGAAGCAGGGATACACATGTATGACAAGAGGCATCCTGCTAAGAATATCCCAACAACAAATGAGCCATGTATGAACGGATAAGACTGAGGAAGATAAACACATCAGAGTGGAAAAGATAAGGGTATGAGTGTCCACTGCAAACCCCTTGGGAAAATGGTGAAGAACTTTGGAAAGAAGGTGAACAGATGAAAAAAGGTGGAGAACGGTGGTGAGTGTAAGCCAAAAACTTGAAAACTGGGCTGGGGAAAATCTCAATGTAGTCTCTGGAACAGATCCCCCATACTTGAATCAAATACTCTGAGAGTCCAAATATGGAAAATCTGACCCATAATAAGCCAAAACATAGGAGTCATATAAATATGGAGGATAAAACATGCTCCATAATTGGGCTAAAAATTGATCATCATGGATTCGAGCATCAGGAGCGAGAGGGGAACACTAAATAATCCAACAAAGGTGCAGAATGAAGGAGTGAGGGGGAAGAATCAAAAGACACAGAGGAAATTTACAAAAGATCACATACTTTGGAAATCATTTTCAAAATGGCAAATAAAGGCTTAGGTAAATCCAGAGAGATAGCATGGGATTGCATTGCAAAAGTAGGAGGTGGGAAAATGTTGTCCAAATCTTCGTAGTCTTGACCTGATTCAACTGGGAATGCGATATCCGGCCACATTTCTGGAGACATGGCAGGTCACATGAGAGTTTTCAATTCACAACGTACCATGGCAGAGACCTTCTCAGCAGAAAGTGAGGATCCCAAAGCCACAGAAAGAGTAGGGGGATCAGCACTGGCCTGA